CAACCAAAAGGATGTTTTTTGTTGCGTTTGTTTATTTATTAGTTAATGTATTACTCAATGATTGAATTATCTAATAATATTCTAGTAAAATAGACCAAATTGAAGAAGAAAGAAAAAGTTTGGTTGAAGAAATTGATGCTAAAGAAACAGAAAAGAAAGATTATATTGACAAAATAAATGACACATCAAAGAAAAATGAAGAACGTGTTGGTATGAGAAAAACAAGAATGGGACTATACGCGAAAGAAAATGAATCCCTAAGGGCATCTGAGGCACTAGCCAATGATATTAGCGAGAGTATTAATGCTACAGTTTTTATGATTGAAGAACAAGATTCAAGATTATCTCACACTCAATTGAGATGGAGTGAAATGACAAGTATTTTAGGATTATCTAAAACAGTAATGGATTTGATTCATTCAAGAAATAAAGTTGATAAATTAATTGTTTATGGTGGGTTGATTGGCATTATTATTATCATTGGATTGTTATATTATTTCATAAAACATTAATTTATTTCTTCAAATAAATTTAAGAATTGTAATAGTTATACAAAAAAACATCCCTAAAAGTTAAAACGATACATACGAATTCAAGTTTATTCGTTTATATCTCTTATACATATTATTTATTTCAGAAAATTATTCTTTCTTCAAAAACTCCTTTCTTTAAATTCATTAATTTTATAAAACAGATATGGAATTATTCCTTTTAATGATCATAAATAATAAAAAAATATCAGAGTCCATTAACATCAATCACAATTCCAATAACAATCAGTAAAATAGGAGGCCATTGTTTTTATTATTGTACATCATTAAAATCAATTACTATGCCTTCATCAATTAGTAAATTAGGATCTAATTGTTTTAATGGATGTTATTCATTAACAACAGTTAATATACCAACAACAATTAGTGAAAATTAGGAAATGGTTGTTTTAGTGGATGTTCATCATTAATATCAATTAACATACCATCCTCAATTACATCAATAGGAAATTATTGTTTTTATAAATGTGGATGTACAGAAGAGTTAAAGAAGAATAAAATAATACCAAGAGGATCTTTTGAACACACATGCAGTGATACAAAGAGAATAAACAATAAGTAATTGAGTTAATTCATTAGTTATTTGAATAAAAGAGTTATAAAACACTTTTGAATATAAAAATAATGAGAAAAACATACTATAACAGTTGAAATTGAAAGTAATCATTGTGAATATAATAAATATGAATATTAAAGATATTGTGTAATGATTTACAGATAACAAAACATGAAATTAAACAAAAATGATATTATAAACAATTTGTATATTTTATAATATTTTATTTATTTGATTATTTGATTTTATTGTTAATTTATGATTATTATTATCTAATTGTTTCATTTCTTTTATTATTATTCATTTTATACTTCTTGTTATATTCTTTTCTTATATTTAAACTATTCAAATACTTGAAATTGATTTTTAATTTTAATAATGAATATTTCATTATAATTTATTGTTTTTAATTTTTCGTATTTATTAATGCTTTAAATATTTTAAATAATTAAAAATGTATTAAATTATCATTTATTATTGAATAAATGATATTATTAATAATTTTATGAATGAATATTATCATTAATCAGTTATTTTATTAAATAAAAATGAATATATTCTGCAACGAAAAAAAAAATGAAAAAAAGAGAATGAAAAAGAATGATATAAAAGAAAAGAGTGAAATTAGGAAGTAGAAGAAGATGAAAAGAATAAAAGTAGAATGTTGAGATTATAAAATGAAAGAAGATAAAAAGGAGTAATTTAAAAAGAGATAATAAAAGATGAAAATAAAGATGAAATAATGGATGTATTTTTTATTACAGAAATTAGAAATATGAAATAAAAAGTGTTTAATTTATTGATGTAAATTATTTAACAATATTTTATTGATATAAATTATTTTATTCTTTTTTATTTTTATAATTTTTATTTATATGTATTATTTATTATCAATGTTTATTATATAATCAATTATAGATGTTATATGATTAGTATATAATATGTAATATATATTAAATAATAAATAAAAAGTATAAATGAAATAATAAATAAAATCAATATAATATAAATAAAATAATAATAATAAATATAAAGAGAAAGAAGATATAAATTATAAAAATATATAAAAATGAAAATAAGATAAAGAAATGTATTCATATATAATAAATTATATATAAATAGAAATATATGAATTTAAAGAAAATATAAATAATAAGAATATAAAACTAATAAAATAAGATAAATATAAAATATATAGATAATATGATGATATATAATACATAATAGAAATAAATATATAGAAACATATAATATATAAAATA